TGAATTGAAAAGCGGTTCTGATAGAGCCGGTTCTGAAGACCCGGTTGCTGCAGAGTGGTTTCTGTACTTGATCAGCCACTGGAACTGTTGGGGGTCGTCAGAGCAGCCGTAGTCCGTGGTCCAGGCGTGGCCGATGGTGAACTTGTGGAACTTCAACATGTCCATGACTCCCACCTCGGCAACCACGCAGCCGAACAGCTCCGGGCGCTGGATCATGCAGGCCGCTGGGAACAGAACCGCCATCATTTAATCCAAACACAGACGGGTCATTCTCCAGAACCTCCTGTAGAACCCCGGACTCACCGACCAACAGGCCTCCGTTAGAACCGCCGTTGATGGCGATGCGGCTGGCGGCGGTGTACTGCTCCTGGATCAGGAACTCGGCGGCGCTCTGGAAGTCATCGAAGCAGTTCTGCTTCTTCCCTAACGTTCCGGCTGCAGACAGGGAAGATGATCAGAGCGGGTCACCATGGTCGACCCGGTTCTGTGACGGCACCGGTACCTTTATGCCAGGTGAGGCCGTACTCTCCCCCCCCTCGGATGTTGGCCACGGCCAGGACCCCCCCCAGGTGTCGCACAAACAGCAGGTAGGCCACACTGCGTCAGGAAACAGAACTCAGAACCTGGTTCTGTTGGAACCAAACCAGCAGCTGATCCGGATCCAATGGGAACCAGCGTTCTACAAACAGAACCGGATCAGAACCGGCTGCAGTCACTCACTTGTAGTAAGGCTGGATGGACGCCTCAAAGCCTCCGTATCCGTACAGGAAGACCGGGTTGGTTCCGTCCCGCTTCAGGTCCTTGGAGTGAACCAGGAACATGGGAACCCTGGTTCCGTCTTTACTGGGATAGAAAACCTGAGAACCGGACCAGAACCGGACAGGACGAGATCAGACTAGTAGAACAACTCTAATGGCTCCGATTGGAGCAGAAAGAGACAGAACCAGAGGAAAGTTCTGAGGCCCAGAATACATCTGGTTCTGCTCAAAACTCCAACAGAACCCGAAGGAGGAGAACCTTTAGTCCGGCCTAAACGTCTGGTCCAGTTTTTATTAGAACCTGAACAGAACAGTTCCATCTTTATATCTAATGATGAAGACATGAACCCGTCGGAACAAACCGAACCGGGCCGTCCGTCCAGAACCTTCCTCACAGACTTCGTCATTCCAGTTCTGTGGAGTCTGTATTTTTCTCCTCCAGGTGGCGCCGTTCCCTCACTGATCACCCAACAGAACATCAAACCTCTGGAGGAACTGGACTTTCTGAGGCTCAGAACCAAACAGGCCTTTGGGTCGTCCGGTGCTGAAGTCCAGCCGGTCCTCCAGGCCGGGGGAGAAGAAGGAACATCTAAAGTTCTGCAGAGGAAACCGGACCTGAGGCCTCCTGGTTCTGACCCACCCACAGCAGAAGATCCTGGTCTTCAGAGAAGAACCTTCAGTTTAGGAGACGTTTCATGGCCCAAAGCCAGCAGAACCATCTGGATGGTTCCAACAGATCGGACCTTCAGCTGCAGAGCAGATTCCAGAGTTCTCCTCAGCTGGTTCTGACCCGACTAGTGCTGCAACTAAGGAGTAATAATCTGATAGTCTAAGGTTCCTTAACGTGTAATTTTACAGAATTAAACCAGATGAAACTAAACTAAGTTCTGGATCATCGAGCGGACGGACGGACGGACGTTTTTATCTCTAATGCAAAATGTTCTATATTTATTTATTATCTTGGTAAAATTCCTGCTGTCAGATAAAGGCAGGTTTCACAGTCTCTTCACAGAACAAAGTCCTCTTCACAGGAACCCTCAGAGCGGGAACCCTCAGAGTGGGAACCCTTAGAGCTGGAACCCTCAGAGCGGGAACACTTAGAGCGAGAACCCTCAGAGCTGGAACCCTTAGAGCTGGAACCCTCAGAACGGGAACCCTCAGAGCGGGAACCCTTAGAGCTGGAACTTTCAGAGTGGGAACCCTTAGAGCTGGAACCCTCAGAGCTGGAACCTTCAGAGCGGGAACCCTTAGAGCATGACCCTTTAGAGCGGGAACCCTTAGAGCTGGAACCCTCAGAACGAGAACCTAAAGAGCGAGAACCTAAAGAGCGGGACCCTGAGAGGACTCACCTGGCTGGTCCGGAAGTCCTCCTGGTCGATACCTTTGACCTCCCCCTCCCTGAAGACCCGGGGCTCCGGGTTGGAGGTGCTCAGGTCGCAGTGGTAGATGATTCCTAGAACACAGAAGCTGATGATACTGCGTTC